TTACAATATTAAATTAAAAAACTTAATTGGAAATAATTACTGCCCTTCAACCGGTTTCTGTTTGTATCCAATGGTTAGCTGGTAGAGAATGTTATGTGGCATTAAGCTCGCCAATTGTAGGTACATTTATTTTAGATAGTACCATAAAGAATAAATAAGAAATAAAGTAATAATCTGACGAACGTTATGAATTGTATTTCACAATTTTTTTTATTAAATCAAAGTTAAGTATATTTCTCGAAATGTAATTCCAAAAACGAAACTGTACCAATACTTGTTGGTCCTATACAAGAACCAAAACTTCGGACATTCCAAACAATGTCAATAAACATTATTCCTTTGATTTAATGATCTCTTGAAATGAAAATTAATGATCTCTTGAAACTATAACAAGAATTATGTTTTCAATTTTAAGTTTAAATATTGACGAACATGTTTTGAATATTATGTTTATTAATTTATTCTCTTTTAAACTCTTTAAATAATAATTAAGATGCAAGTTTTAAAATTACTTGTAACGATAGTTTTATGAATTAGTGTAATAATATTTTTATATATTTACATTTTGAATAAGACTATTACTTAGGTCGTCGACTTTGTGTTGAATACATACATGTTCCGATCCGCGATTCCATCGTAGATTCCTGTAAAAGCGTCGTACTTCCCTCTGCAAATCTAGTCAAAATTATTAATTCCTATTACAGAGTATCGAAATTATATTATATGCGATAATTATAAAGTTATCGTTCTCGATCTGAGGGGATAGGTAAGTAATTTGATCTAACGTATAGTTTGCTATGGAGTGTACTTGATAATGAAGCTGAAGGTCTGTTTTGGGTAATGTACTCATATACCTAAGGATTATATGACATATATTTTAACGGTAATATGCCTTCACCATCTTGATAAATATTATATTAATATTTGACGCCAATACTTTGTATGGGGTATGTTCTTCGTGCAATTTTCGTAAAAAAGAAAAAAATCGCACACTTCTAATTCGTATAGAGAAGGAGTGCAGAATACTCTATTACTATTAATACTACTATTTTTTTAATTATTTATAAAAAATATTATAATATTCAATAATTGAATGAAAAAACATTACATACACTACCATTTACACTAATATATATCTCAAAACAATTCACCCAGTATCATCTATTCTCAAGCTAAGCAGAGCTTGTGTTATGGCAACAATTATGGAAACAAGTGATATAAATACATACATACATTTTTTGGTAAATACATACATAATACATATAGAAAACACCAACCAATACAACTATACTCATGAATACAAATGTTCATACCGTGTGAGGAATAGAATCCGTGATCGTCGGAAGTATGGCAGTGTAGCAAACGCTAGACCACCAAGGCATATCTTGAAGGTGGATGAGTTAATAAATTATTGAAGAAAATAATATTTTTTTCTTCAATAATCTCTTAATTCACCCACCACATTATTTTGCATTAATTACGTCAGCCCCCAAGCAAATAACTTTATTACATGTTTCGGTTGAAGGTTAAATTGACAGATAAATTATAGGGTACGGAGGTATGACATCTTTTTCTCCGAAATGACAATGCATGACGCCTATGTATACATATATATATATACATAGGAATCTTGTTGCCATATACCATTAACTTGGTTAACATAAAATAAAAACATTCAACTTGTCTTTATTTGTTATTGTTATTCCTTTTTTTAATTGTAATATGGTAAACGACTCGTAGAATAGACTGTAGACGAAAAGCAGTAGTACTTTATAATATGCTTAACATATGACGCTAAAAGATAAATAAAAGAAATAGATAAAAATGTCAACATTTTATTCGTAAATCAGTATAATGTAACTTACATTGACTTATTTAGTGTTACAGTATAAAGAACATTATATTAAGTACAACTGTTACCCTATTCTCATACAAAAATATTACATCTCATGCAATGCAACCAACTCTTGTACTTTCATTTCCTTTAATTCAATTGTCAATTCTAAGAAATGATTTAAATTGAATAAATATATGTAACTAAAGAAATTACACAATATAAAACGAACATATTTAATATGAAGCCTCCTTTACACGATAACAAGTTTGCATAACCAATATCTTGCGGCCAGCAACAGGGGGTCTATTCTGGAATTACGAATCCTAATGTTCAAAACCGAGCGACACTTTACGAGTACTTGAGTCATTAAACTCAAATTATTAGACTAATTGAAATTGTTTGGAGAAGGGTAGAGTAGTGACACTTTAAAATGTTATAAGGTCTAATCAAAACGGTGCTCAATAATTTAAGACTCCAACGAGTAGATCATAAGGTACATTTTATAAAAATGTATATTGTATTATTTATTTCTATTTGAGTATTTCATTATCATTATAGATTACTTCTTTATTACTTATTAAATTTAAATTAAAAATTACAAACGGGTGTTTTACTGCTATTAATACCAAAGAGAAATATCTATATCATTTATCGACTCAGTTTATACATAAGAAAACAGAGCATAAAATACGCAGTCAGCATATATAATTTTCACTATATCGACTAGACCATATATATATTGATAACATTAGGTATAAAAAATAATTCAAATCTAGAAAAATTTATTATTACAATTATTTCTAATAAAAGTGCTCAAATTTTCACCTGAAATTCGATTCAGATTTGTTATTTCATAGTAGACCCCCAGTATCCTAGCAAACCACAGGCTATTAATTTACACGTTAGTGGTTTCAGCATCAGTCAATTGTGTTGTAAGTTTCGATTGCCACAGAGTAACAAACACGAACAAGTCACTGGCGTCAGTAAGCAGGCAAGTGTGCTTCGTCAGCCACGGCATATGATAATCAAAAGTCGTCAGACTTCTAAAGATTACTTTACAGTTGTTTAGCCAGAATATTGGTAGCACAAAATTGTCGTTGTGTAAATCTGACATTATCAATACAAATTACGGAAAGTAATATTTGTAACATATAGATTTAGTTATATATTCTATTTGTTCAAACTATATAACCTTCATAATCATATATCATTATATAATATATTTTAGATTTTTAATATAATGTTTCTCCCATAATAATAGGTTAAAATTTAATCCTCCAGAACAGAACTAAACTCACGTTCCTTGGATTTTCATTCTGCTCCAGCTCTCTGATGTTCTAGAAAATCGAATATTAAGAATAAAGGTAACAATAATAATCTTATTTTTCATACTACAAACAAATTGAAAATATTGTTAAAATACAGATGTTACCAATCAGTAGTAGAATAAGTTTTTTTCATTACAACTATTAATTAATTTTATACTTTTTTAGAAAAGAATGATGACAGTTCGCAGCTTTTAGAAAATTCTTAGTACGTAATACGAAAGATGTATATTTAATATTATAAGTACAATTAAGGGTTCAATTATTTTTTTTATTATTTTCTTTTAAATTGTACTTAATATTTAGCTCATTTTATTATTTTGCTAAACATCAGAAGAGTAATACAATTAATTATATCTCAACTCACCGTTCATCACAATTTTCTTTTTAAATAATTCATTAATCCCATTTCCTTTGAATCCAAAACGACCTAATCAGAATATTATCCATACAGAATATTATTCTAATTAAATGTGGTAATTTAATTATCCTCTCCATTATTTTGTAAAATGTACTCTTGTGGAAACCTTTTAAGATATCGATAAAAGTAAATATTAATTATAACAACTCTGTAACGTACAGATATTTATCAGCATTTTAACTACATTTCAATCAGTGCAATCTACAATAACTGCAATTAAAGTATTGAAATAAATAAGTTATAAATTGTTAATTAAAATAAATTACATATATTCATTAATTTGATAACTAAAATTATTTTAGTCACAAACTTGTATGGTAATAATATTATGTAATTGCAAGCAAATAAAATGCGATATACAATATTAATTACAATAACAGCTTACATCTGAGTATATATTCGATATTTTCTTTATATTATATTAAATTTTAACACGATTTAAAGCTTCCATTTCATATTACAAAACATGTAATATATTTAACGAATTACATTCATCCTATTGTGCAATTAATTGAAATAATTTATTTCTGTTCATAAATACACAATTTGTTGCGACCATATATATCGCTGAATTTTTTTTATAATAAATATGTATTTCTTTATTCAAAGCCCGCATTCATTATTGTCCGACACTAAACTGAATACATAAGATACATTAGATTTTTTTTTTGTTTTTTTTAAATACATGCAAAAGTAGTTCAGATTTGAATATTCATAAAATGCATTTCACAGTTTGTAATACTTAGTTAGTTGATATGACGCTTATCTCAAAAGTACAGTAGCGACTAGGTAATAATTTATTTTTTATACCAAATACATTGTAAAAGACAACAACTATTATACAACATTTACGATAATTATGTATGTACATGACACGATCAAGTCTTGAATTTGAAATGTGCGTATTTAGATATATAAGTATAAGTATAATATAAATATAAAGTGTATAGAAGTAACAGTGTATACAGAGGTATAGGTAGTAACAAAAATGGGAGATTAGTGAAATGTTATAAAGGTAGTCAATGATTCATGATTAATTACTACTATTGGATATAACCAAATGCTACACCTATGAGAAACAATACACAATCTCTTAAGGTGGATTTAGACCAAGCAAACGCATCAACACTCTATCTAAAATCCTCAAATTTTAGAGTATACATGCTCAGAAATAGCCAACAGTACTCTAAGAGCTTTAAAACATTTACTTACCCAAAAGCATGCAAACAATTTCGTAGATGCTTCCTCCATTACTCCATTAGTCTAAACCTACCTGGTCCAATTTCCTAGCTCTTTTTCGGTGCTCACCCTTACATAGTCTATATCCACCTTTAAACAAATTTCTAAGGAGTAAATTCTTTTCTCTACTTCAACATATATAATAGTCTAGTCTAGATTTAAATCTCTACTTGCAATATCACGTAACATTCATTTTGAATCGTCTACAATAAATGGACATACAACCATTATCTCCTAGTCACATTTAGTTATATTTTGGCATCTTGAGAGCATCTAAGCGATGACATCTACTAGTATCACCTTGATTTTAACCAACAAGATACTTCGCGTACTGGTAATCGTATAACACTTTACATATTTTCCTTTCCGTCTCTTCATCTGAAATAGAAAGAAGATGATGAGCAAACGCCGAAACATTTCAAAGTCAATTTAGGAGATTTGGCCTTAACTTCTCTAACATAAATAGCAATTATTTCAGCATACAACACAACAATTAATATGACGAGAATTTTAATCATAGCAATATAAATAGAAATACATATATATAAAGGTATACTGTATAGAAAAACTGCAATGGAAAAAAATACTATAGTCTGTGGTTAAGTCTGCTTATACTACAACAAAGTTCTAAAATGTACCATATATTTTACCTACCTGACCTCATTGACCTGCCTGAGTCATTTTTCCTATTGCAGCAGTACCACATAATTCATACTCGTTGTAAAAATGCAGTAGCAAACTATAAAACCGGGCGCGTACAAATAAAAAAGAAATCTCAATCAAATTAAACCCGAGCACTTTCTAATTACATTAATGGCTGCGAGAGCTGTTATTCTATAATTTTTATATCAAAGAAAATCTTAAAAAGACAAAGATAAAAAACGGCTTGTTATTTCAGGAAGATTAAAGTGTTGAGCAATTAACATTTTCCTTAAAAACAGGTCACTGTCATTTGTTAAAAGATAAAATAAAGCCTTTCGGAACTGTCGACTCATTAGCCACTTTAAGATAAATGAAACAGGTTAGAAGCAGAACGGTTCTCAAAGTTGGTTTTATGTTGACGGTTACGCCTGCTTTATTTTTTTTAATAATAGGGTTAAAGTTATTCTATTAAATCATTATCATTACATTGTATAAAACAAAGTTAAATCTTTATAACTACGCAACGGATTTTAAAGCGGTTTTTTTAAATAGATAGGTGATTCAAGAGGAAGGTTTATATGTATAATACATGTACACCCGTGTGAAACCAGGGTAGGTAGCTAGTTATTTATAAAACGAATTATCAAATCAAGCAACTAAATTTCGTTCTAGTAATAGAGAGACTAGAAATTAATATGACAAATACGACTTGTAAAACGTATTCTATAAATTACAAATGAATCATAAACGTCGATAAAGTATTATCGACATTTTATTTTGTATGAAACATTATATTTCATCTAATTAAATACCACCATTATGGAGTTGACTGAAAATTGAGAAGGACAAGGCCAATCATGATTATGTATACTCCCAGATTAACAAAAGAGTCAAGAGGGGACACTAAACTACGATTTTGTTCTAAAACATATGAGATAGTAAAGTATTACCATCATATCACTACGATTGATATTAATTATCAATGTCACAAGTAATGCCATAATAATTAATTCAATTCTGTCATGTTTTTATTTATTAACATCGATTTCGCCACTTTATTTACCTAAAAACGAATATGGTTTTAATTTTGACGAACAATTGAAAAAAGTTTACCAATTGATAAAGTAATTTTTTACATGTATAAGGTTTTTTTCGAAGTATTCTAATGCTGTGGCTGTAGCTGGCATTCATCGAGCGACACTAGGGGCGAGTGCAGAAGGGCACTCCAAAGCCGCGGAAGTAGATTCTTATATACCGGCTGAAGGCCTATTCTGACGGATAAGAACAAGTATAAGTGAGTGTGTTTGCTTAATGTATACAATACATTTTCACTGTACAACTTCCATTTTTAAATAAAGTTCCCTCTTGACGTTTTTGTTACTCTGTGTATAGGGTAAACATCGCTCTCATTACGTTGGTATATTAATTATTTAATATTCTTTGACGTATATTGATTACACCATTAATTATCCATACAATATCGACACGTAATGAATCGAGTCCTCGTACAATATAGATAATAGATTTAAATCCACGTGATTTATTAATATTTCATACTAATTAAAGCAGATTATTATTTGGAATAATTGGCACGTGTAACAAAATGTTTGTTAGATTCATTTCGAATCAATAAGGAAAATGAAATCTGAACCTAAAAACAATACTTTTAATAAAGTCTTATGATGAGTTAGATATCTTTGGAAAACAAGTAATACTTTAGAAATGGGACAATTATTATAAAATCATTAAAAATCCTCTACAAACCAACTTTATTAAAGCATCTGAAATTCTTAATTATAACAACAACTAGCTTCGTTTAGCATGTAGTATTTTCTACAGATATTCCAGATTTTTGCGTCATTATATGTTGTAGTTACTAATACATACATACATATATTATATTTATTTATTATTATTTATATCGGTAGACTCGCCCCCAGCGATTAACATATCCGAAATATGATTATGCCAATTGTTTCGTTCACCACAACATCGACAGTTGATAATGTATGTAACTATATACCTTTTTTATCTTTATGTTTCTCTGCCCAAAGGAAGAGGTTGCTTACCAATAAGACCCCCTTTTAAATCAGTTTATGTAAACATATTATTATTATTATTAATTAATTTCTGTATCTGGTACAATAAACTTTATAAACAAATAAACTCGTGACGCATACCGTCACAACTATTATCCTATGTGAGGTAGACAGAGACGTAATAATTTATGTATTTACATTATTTTTTATAAAAGGCTTAGACACCCTATTCCGGGTGACTCTATAATTTTTTTAAATAGTCGTACCTTCCATTTAAGCAGTTCAGTGCTACACTCTGCTGATCGTTCGATGGTAGCGCGACGTTTGCTGGTGGGCTCTTGTTCAAGGGATACCACTGGGCAACTGGCTTACGAGGATTGTCCAACATCTCAAGCCAGTGGTCGCGGCCTATTCCAATCAGACTTGAGCCTATAGCCGTGCAGCCTATGAGTTCATTTGGACTGATCCTGTTAAAAAAACATATGTTTTAATTATATTTTTAAATTTTGTTATAGAAAAAGTTTATATTTTATGTTTATTACGACATTACTTGGTCTAATATAAATGTAACAATCTCTTCGCCTCTCTCTCCGTACTAATACTATAAATGCTAAAATATGTCTGTCTGTCTGTTATCTTTTTACAATGCAATTTTACATGAAGTACGATTGTACACCATTGTAGACTAGGATAGACATATGCTATCTCAAAAAAGCAAGTCCAAGGTAGATATTTATCTACCGTAGTAGTCATTATAGTTACTAATATTTATTAGTAACTATAATGACTACTAAGTGATCATATCATCTTTGAATATTATATACATAAATGATCTTAAAATATTGATAGAAACAATCTCATTTAAGTCTTTTAATGCCCTTCACTCGCTTCAAAACTTCACTAATGGATATTTCAAAGAAACAATAGTCTGACAATGATTGATTTACGTACCGTTTAGTACAACATTACGAAACCAATGAACATGAATACAGTTTTCTTATCTATACGCGTTCTCTATGAACACTATATTAATGTATTGTTTATGGAAATTTAAGATGTATTTTACTTGATCATCGATATTAAGTGGCTTATAAGTTTTGTGAGCTTTAAAAGCTTTGACTACACAAGTTTCGCAACTTGTATATTATCTGTCAGTTTTTTATGTTAGTGTAATGGTAAATAAGCTCACGGCTCAGTTGCTGGTAAGTGACAACCCTCATTTACCATCATCACGTACCATCTACCCTTAATGCTATTATGCAAAGCAATATATTATGCAATTCTGGACCAAAGGTAGAGTATAAAAAGTCGTCTGCGTATCTCAGTCCTACCTATTTCAGCATTTCAGCGGCTGCTAAAAGAAGCAGCTGGCTTTGAAAACTTGTTTCCGTTGTACGGATTAGGCGATTACACATTGAAAATATTGGATAAGAGCCATAATAGGACATTTTATAACGTGATGTTCCAACGGACATAAGGGATGTATCATCATCGTATTCATGTACATAGACGAAGGTTACCACTTACCACCACCAGCTTGTAAGTCATTTCAATTACATAAAAAAGTATCTAAGGTATCATGCCTTAAAGTATACCCTGTAATTACACTGCCACATACATTTATGTATTGAGTAATACTACACACTTGTCATTAGCAGAGATTACAATAAATTAAGTCACTTGTCTTACTTTACGTCTTCTTTTAATTCTTTTTATATTTATACACATGTAAAATATAATTACTTTGAAGCTATTTACTTTATGCTATAATTCTGACTTCTCAAATATTTTCTTTTATAGCATAGGGAGACATAGATTAAGGAGCAGCAAGTGCTCACCTGAAGGTAAGTAATTACCACCGCCCATGAGCACTCTCAATATGAACAATACCAAATATTTTGCATTAGCTTTCTATTTTCAGATATCGTTATTTAATATTAAATTTTTCTAATCGCATAAGTTTCTTATTAGCTAATAAGATTATTATTGTCTAATCACTAGTAAAGAAGTTATTGCGTCGCTAAAGAGATATTCATCTTACACCAAATGCCGCGGCAGCCGTGTTTTAATCAATAGATATTTCCAAGCCAATATTTCTTTTGATCATATCTTATACATCCACATAATGGTAATATTTTACTTATCTATGTGAAGGAAATTGTTTTAATATCCTACCAGAGAATACTTCTCTTCATTTTAATATTACCTAGAAATGGAATATGGCGTCAACATTAATTTCCGGTTGGCATTGTTTGTGTTATAGAGTTTCGTGTAAATCTAATTCTAATAAATATGCAAATATTATTTTGCACTCACTGGCTGTAATGCATTTTGTAAATATATTTCTGAAATTGAGTGTTTTATTTTTATTGAGAACAATAACAGCTACTTAAGGTTTTATTTCAAATACGCGATCTGCTCTTTTATTACAAATTCGAAGAACTTTAGTTTTTTTTTTTTTTTTTTTTTTTGGGATTTATTTTAATTTTAATCATAATGAAATATACATAATTCCTCAATATCAATTTTCTATATAAACAATTACAAAAAACAATCATTGTAATCCAACGCGGCACATCGAGGCAGCGTACCCAAGATACTGGCAGCGTTGCCTCTTTGAATGGCCATGCTTAGCCTTTGGGCAAAATAGCTACCAGCTCTCGGGTCACAAGTAACCTCAATGAGCCGCGCTGAAATATATGTCAAAAACAATTTGGCTTCCGGGCTCCATGGGCCCAACGTCTCCACGGCAAATGGTAAAAACCAATACGACCCCTCCAGATTCGTATATTTTCGTCTTTTAAAATTGCCGCCTGTGTTGCTGCCGTGCCAGGACGAGAGGACGATCCCGACACATGACTTGGTGCCAATGTATCCACACACGTGGCATCCCATACTAAACATTTTCCGAGTTTCCACGGGACCAGGGTCATACCATCAGGCCGTTTCCCGTCTTCGCGAACAATGCCACTAGGCTCTAGTACTGCCGGTATTTGTGCCGTCGCCAATGCTCTATGTATAATAGTGTTGATCATGGCATGACGAGGTATTCGACCAGCACTTCTCATACAAGAGAGACCATGGTGTCCTAATTCATCAACAGTAGCACCACAGTTACAGCGATGAGGCTGATTTAGTTTAGCACCCAGCCGCAAACCTACCGCCAGTGTGAGGGTACAATTATCCAGAAGCATACCGGTATGACTTGAAGGAAATGCTTGCAGCCAATACCCTGACTCTCTTTCTGCTACTGCCAGAAGACGAGCACGAGATACAGCCGCTTCACAGCGACTCAAAATATTTTGCTGACTTTTAATGCACAGTGGTTCATCCCATTGTCTCTGCGAGAGACACGTATTCGGCGTATCAGTTGACGGACATTCTATTTGCCAGGCATTCACAGCCTCAGCCATACCCCAAATCTCCACGGAACCTGACGAAGGGCTAATGATTTTACCGCAAAGAGAAATAGAAGCATGGACAGAAGCCAAAAATGCTGGAAGAGCAATAGAAGAAACCTTTCTCACGCCTACTCCTCCATAGCGTACCGGCAATGTAGCCTGATGCCAGGCATTATCAGTTAACTCACAGTTTAAAATTTTTATTAAAGTTTCCCTTAGTACTATGTCTAATTTCTCAAGTTGTTCTGGGAATTTCCACACCATTGAGCTTCGTAACACGTATGTGAATTTGGGCGCAAAAAGACACAATCTTAATATAAACAAAGCCATATGAGCATTTATACAAAATAAGCGGTCACATGATTGCTGAAACTTTCCAATTTCTTCATCTACATAGGCTGGAATAGATTCATTTAAAAGAGGTACACCCAATAATCGAAGATTGTCCTCTGTTATGACTTTAATGCCTGGAGCTAGAGAATTAAATTTGGAAATAATATCTAGTTTACTTGATTCTGGCAGTGACCTTTCTAGAAAGACCTCACATTTATCAAAATTCAACTGTAGACCCAACCTACCCAGATCATTTATTAACACCTCTAAATCTGAGGACACTACCGACGCACTTCCCCCCCGAGAGCCATCATCCAAATACCAAATATTAAGAGGCGAATTAAGACGGGTTATTATAGGATTTATACCCAAACTAAAAACAACTGGACCCAATGGATCCCCTTGTTGACAACCTGCAGTCGAAAGAATTGGATGGTGATTATATACGAGCACTGATGACGAGCCATAACACTGCCAAAGGTACGGATACACTTCCGGTATATTTTGCTCCACTTTAGTATTATTTACATATCCATAATATAATATAACATAGAGGTAGAATGAAAGAATTAACATTTGATTATTTATTCAAAATAAAAATATCATCTATAAATCTGAATAGAATTTTTAAAAATATATTATAAAAAAAATCCTATTAATAATCTTGACTATAAGATTACTTTCAAGTATGCTTTGGAGGTACCGGGGAAGAAAATAAACTGACTTAACTTATACTTAGGTTATGTGGTGATAGAGGAGTAAAGAGTAATTAGCATAAAATATAAAATGTTCTTTTAAAAAATGTGTAATTTTTATATATACTGTGTTTGATTATATAAAGATAGCTAAAGATCTTTTTTTGGTAAAAATCGAGTATTGAAATACTTGAAGGTAAACAAACTATGTTTAAGTATTTTATTTAAACATAGTTTGTTTTAGAATTACACGTTAAACGTTGGTATTAGTTGCCTTATCCTTTGGACAAAATTTCGTCGAGTTTGATAGAATACTGGAAAATGGATGAATGGAAGCCAAGTCAAGTAATCATTCAGCAATGCCTACATTTCGCTGGAATGCGACGTGGCAGGGGACGAGCCATCATTTAGTCATTTCTTGTATTATTTTTTTTATTTTATATTGGTGTTTCCTTTACTAATATTATTAATAATATAAGGTGAGATTATAATAAAAATGGACACAAACTTTTTGGTTTCGGCCAAATTTGAATCCACGTAATTTTAGTGGGTGCAATTTAGAATAGTAAACCACCAATAGTAAACCAAAGCGTCACTACGCTCAGACTAGTGACGCACAGGCTGTATTATTTAATTATTAATATATTATATTTATAGATAACGAATTGTAGTAAACTGTGTCCTTGTCTGCCCGTCTGGATTGTGGTCCCAGATGGTATGTTCTCTAATTCTACAAGAAGCTATATAACATAATAAAGTTATTAGCGTTCATTATATATTATCTACAATCTATTTCTTTTATATACCTACTACACAGGTTTATAATGGCGGTTTTTTTTATCTAATACGTTACGTAAAAACTTTGTACATTTTTACAAAAATTGAGCGGACGGAGGAGTATGAAATATAATAATTATATTTATTTATATAGACCATTGGGTGACCACTATTAAATAAAGTAATGTAATTATCAAGACTATTTCGTACCAGTACTAGATGACCGATACCAAAGTAAATCGCGTTAAGTCATATAGATTGACTTTCCGGTGATGCAAACACCGGTATCAAACAAAATTACATAGAATCCCTCCTAGGACAACAGTAGTGTTACTTTTATGTAATTGGAATAATAAACAAGCAAGACGACACACTTGATGGTAAATGGTAACCGTCATAAATCCATGAACAACGCCGCGAACACTGCAATTCTCATTTGTTACCATTTCAGATGACTAATAGCTCCGTTTCCTGTAATTTTACTGCTTTATTTCACCCTTCAACAGAAAAACATGTTGCAAACTGTTTAATAGGTGACACAAAAGAACCCTCGCAGACGACATCGTACAAAATTTGCCTAAACAACAAAATATTATTAAAAAAAAACTAAATGCCTACTCACATGTCATAATCAATAACTTTAACAAGCAGAGTCACGTCAAACACATTGTCCGCAGGCAAATCGAAGACCAAAGCCTCGTTGTAGACAGGGCAGAGTGTATTCTTCTTTACTGTAGTCTTCTTCTTCTTGATGCGCTTGCCTTGGCAAATGAGGCAGATCTTCACGTACGGATCTAGAGCAAAAAAAACTGTTTAGCATACAATATTTTTGTTTATGTTCAACTTTTTTGTTTACAAACCGATTGGAATAAAATATACATGTTTGAAGTGAAGAATACCACGAATATTTTGATGAGAACCGAGACTAAAACACAGACTAACAGACAAAAATACTAACAATTGTTCTTTATGTTCAATTATATTGATAAAATCACCTAGTAGTTATCTATTACAATCTGTCAGACAAGAGTTGGCCTTCAGCCGCTCCATAAGTCCATCCTATCCTTCGGTGAAGCTGTAAAGGCTAACTGCGGACAAAGACTAGTGTTGTTCGAAAAAAATTAGGTATTTAATGTACAGACATATATATATATATATATATATATATATATATATATATATATATATATATATATATATATATATATATTATATTATGATACAAAATACAAAAATACAGTCGAAATTAAAAATCTCTTCAGGTAGTGGGTTGAAAATATTACAAACAAAAGTATGACGAGTCGTAGGAGTTGAAAAGGCCATAACTGTCATAAAAATAATAGAATAACAACGCCATAAATTAACATTCAAACCCAAATATAATATATTGTACACTAATTATATAGATTACAATAAAAACAAGAACAATAAGATGAGTATCCCGGGTCGTAGGAGTTCAAAAAGGTAGGAACCCACGGCCGGCCACGCATTTCAAACGACAAGCATAAGTAGTATTAGTATGATTCACGACACAACAGACATTAGTATTAAATATTAGTTATTACATGTTGTTACTCAGGAGGACTAAAATATTATACTATGCCTATATACCACATGTCATTATAATTGTACTGCCAGATCTCACAATACCATACATACCACCAACATAATCTCCAATGAGCAGGACATAGGTCGACTGCATACGGACCAGTAGTAACCTAATAATGAGGGTGGTACAGCTGTAATCAAGTCACATAGCTTGTTTCAAGGCATTGTGGCCCGGATCCGTACCAACATGCCTTCATAAAGGAGGATTACTGACCAAAGGGCGTAGTGTATCGGAGCTACCATGGCAGATTGACGTCGCCAATGCCGTGACTATAGAGGCAATTTGTATTTATACTATTATTTCAAATATAAATTAGTTTAAAAGATATATATGATATAATATGGGGTTAATAGCCTGAATAAATAAAAAAAGCAATGAAATTTAAATAAGTGTGGCAAAGGTACCTCACCTATACAGTCTACATTATTGAAGGTCTCGGTGGTCCAGCGGTTTAGAAAACCTTTTTAGTTCCGACGGGGTGATAGGATTGCGGATTCGATTCCTTGCACGATACCAACATTTATATTGATGATTGTTTGTATCTGTATGGGTGTTCTCTTTATAATACGTATTTATAAAAAAAGTATCTATGTCCTTATATCAGTTGTTTAGTACCCATAACACAAGCTCTGCTAATCTTGGGACTAGATGGCGCTGTGTGTTGTCCAGGGATATATAATATTATTAGAAATACTATAGCAGTCTATGTATATACTGTTATAGTATTTCTGAATATAAGTAAAATAAGTAATTTGTGAGTTTCACTCTGAATTCAATATAACATTTTCAATACTTTTTATATTAAAATTCAAGTCTACTTTCTCCAAAGGCATAATAGCACAATGAGTTGAAAGATGCAAATCGTTTTTCCTCTGCGATACAACAATACGCTGTAAACACAATAGGAATGTAACGGTTTAGTCCGTTTTTTAACAGGCTGTAGCAATCATACGGTCGATGTATCAAAGCCAAAATGCTACGTCAAAGGTATCTCATTTTTTATATCCATTTGTATATATCTATACTTCAACAAAAAATACTATGTCAGCGAGCCAGTCAGTTTGACTAAAAGTTTCTGAATAAAAAATATGAAAATGTTGGTTTTCTAGTGATGGTTACATTCACACGTGTATCAATGGCTGGAATAATTATTACCCCGGAAGACTTTGTAAAAAATCGTCTTTATGCCTTTGTCTCGCTCATTTCAGCCGCCAAGCAGCTTGCTTTGAGAGATATTTTTCAGATAAGGCACTAAATTAAGGCGTATCCTTTATCAGGCATAACAAAAATTATATGCCTCAGTGTCCTTACGTGTCAATCACTCACAAGTGACTGAAATTGACGTTTATGTGTATATTTGTTACGTTATCATAAGAAAATAACAAAATTAATATCTTACTGAAAATGGCAATCTCACTGAAAACTCATATGAGCATCAATAGGATAAAATAACACGAATTCTATGCTGTTGATTAAATATTTGTACAAATTCGAAGAGCAATTAAGGTTTGTTTATATCGCCTCATTATATTTACTGAAAACGGTAAAACAACATTACTTTTACAATCATTAAAAACAATGCTAACAGGAAAACTCTATAGAGTTTAGAAGATAATTTAATTACGGAATAAGTAATTTAAATTCTCTTGTATTACGAACGACTTTAGTGTTTTTTATGTAACTGCAAATAACCTGACGTTCTCCCTAATACTTAGTTGTCACTGACTACTCGTCACCAAGTTATACATGAACGGCCATTATATCATCTTGTGGGGCAGGGGCATTCATGCGTTAGCTCTCGAAAGGACTAAGGTCATGCCTCAATAACCATATCACTGCCTCATCTCACATTCCTCCGAAATACATCTTACAGTCGATAAATTGTTAATTCGTGCATAAAAACGACTTTAATTTTGACTTATTGCTATAGTACCTAAGAGAAGTACCGCTTTTTAAGACCGTGTTTATAAGAACAAAACTTACATTTAATCTATACTAATCTTTTTTTTTTATAACACAGGGGACAAACGAGCATGCGGCTCACTGTATCGTGTTTATTAAACTATAATGCGACGAAATCTTTATTATACAATTAAGCATTATACATTTTTTAATACTCAAAGTAAATACAATATTCCATACAAAAAACTACTTTCTTCGTAAACATTTTATCGCAAATGAACACTTGTATACTTTTGTATATGCACAGAATTATTATATTACCAGTGTCTTGGTCCTTGCTTTCAATTCTATTCATAAATTATCGAAAAGCCATCGCCCTTTTGCGTTGCTGTAAATTTACAAGCATTTTCATTTGCGATAAAATGTTTATGAAATTCTGCACCCAGTTTCAAAGATTGACTTCTAACCTTTATCGTATTATTCAGTCATACAATACGGAACCATTTTCAGGGTTCCCTGCTTAAAATACGGCTATTAGCCATAATTTATAGGGATAATATTATTCCAATAACGCAGGCATTCGCCCCACTTGTGTGACATTAAAAGGCCGTTTGTCACGTCTGCATTCGCAACCAAGAAAAGTAATTTCCTTCTCAAGCGACTTCAAAACGTGCATGTTACGTGATTATACTCGTATCGTGTTTTACTGAGCAGGAGATTAGCAATTACCAATTATATATTTCTCTTATGGATAATGGCGTTAAAAAATATTCGTTTACATATTTTCTATATCCAGTATCTTTAATCACTAAAGATTTAGGTATAATAAATACCGAGCATAGCGTAACGTGAATCATAACATAGGATTCCCCGGAATTAGGTGAAGCAACGACATACGTAGCGTTCTGGGTAATGATTAGATTAGAAGGGCGGATGATCGGGCCCAGTGCCATTCCTTGGGAAAGAACTATGTCCAACAGTGGACTGCAAGCTGATTATGATGATTATAAATACTGAGCAAATTATCAAAAATGTATGTACAATAAAAATGTAACTGATAATGTAAATAACATGAGAAAAATTATTACTGAGGGACTTTCATGAACGTATGAATTAGTACGACACGAAGTCATGACTCAGCTAGTTATTGAATACGATATTTTTCTATTCTAAATGGGTATCAACTTTATAACTAAAATATATACAAATTTTCTTGCACATAGTTTTGGAAAAAAAAAAAAGTTTAGTAAAATGAAACGATATCTTGGTACCAAAAGTTAAAAATCTAACGTACCTGATGAACCATTGATGTCCATTGCCTTCAGGTTTCTACCTTTAATCACGGTCACGGTAAGCCGCCCAGCCGTGGGCAAATAACACAGTGACAACATCAACTCGCCGAGGTCTTTCTTTTCCTAAGGACAAAGTCAAATAACATTCAAACAATATAAAATTTTACATAATTAATTAATAAAAATTTGAGCATGTCAAGTTTTTATAATGTTATTTATTTATTATTTATATTACGAATGAAATGGAATTCTACATCCGCATGCGCAATCGTAAGTATAAAAGTTCTACTCTTCCGATATTCGTTATTAGATTGTTCCGTTCGTAAAAAAAATTAAAACAATACATACTATTGCGGCGGAGCCCCTGATAATAAAGCCCCTAAGCCTTCTCTGTCCTGGTAAATCCGGGCCCGATTGAAAGTAATTTTTTTTAACTTAAAATCCATATGTAAAATTAAATTCTTTAAAATACGTCCTAAATGATTGATATCCTGATAAAAAGCTAGAAGGTAAGAACTGTATAAATCATTCAATGAAAATTGTTACCCTAACGACTAAGGTCACATAATATTCATCTTGATGAAGGTCTATTTCAGAAATCTGACCCGAAGGGATTTATAAAAGGCATCCGCAAACGAGGGACGGGAATGCTCAATATTCGATGTAAAATTTTTGATTAATGATATGTTCATTCAAAATATCGATTCAAAATAACCGACAATACAAATTCTTGCGTATCTTAATCAAATTTGACACAAAGATATATAGACTCCGAAGACAGACATCGGCTATACTAAATCTCAAAAAAATCAGCTTGTATTTATATAAGTCCGCGTTAATAAAACTTTGCACATAAATTCTGTAAATAAATGCAGAAGAAACTGATGTAGTTTCTTACCTGTGGTGCAGCTAAGATATTCATTGTATATTCGATCTCCTGGTGCAGATCAGCTGACTCCAGGAGACCTTTCAGCACCACGTGGCCAATCAGGTCATGACGGCTGAACCGGTCGAAGTCATATACGGAGAACTGAAGATAGCGTTGGCGAAGTTCTTCATAGGGTACGCTGTGGAGGTAGACACAAGTTAGATATATTTTCATACCCCTCTATATGGATTTGATGACATCTTGGCCGTACGTTAACTTCTAAGCTTCAGAGCTCATGTGGTCGAATCTGGCCGACATATTAACTACTTCAATGCATAAATACACAAATAAAGATGGACATGGCGCACTTAACACCCTGAGGCATTACTCGCCCTCCCGTTCTACAAGGGTTGAATTATGCAATAATATTTTTCTATCTTCGAAGAACTAGCAAATTTTTCCATTCAAGTACTTTACAATTGGCATTTGCATGCATAGCATCAGTTGAGAAAAGTTACCTAAACTTAAACGTAACTATCAAATAAATAATCATTTAACACAGATACATAATTGAAACAATTTCAGTATTCATTGAACGTGTTGCCAACATTATGAAGTCTGTTGATTCATATCATAGCATCATATATTTTACGCGATAGTTACCAATTTTCCTCAAAGAAGCCTACAGATGTTTTTCCATTCCAAAACGTATGAAAAAAGTAATATTAAGAAAGTTTACTTTGGGTCTTTCATTCTCACAATTTAGATCATTTGTAGGTGAATGAACTTTCATTAGAACTTCTAAAGACCTGCCGGTGACAATCGGGTATATTTATGGTTTTAATATTCAAATCAGTTTCTGTTCTCATTTCAATAGAAAACTTCAAATTGTTTCTTTTTAATTAAAACAATCACAAATTTGCCGACGTTGTATATCTTAAGCGAAAATGGGAAAAAATCAATGTGCAGCCTCCACATTAATTATTGTACGACTTTATTAAGTTATAAAATGTAGTCGTGGTTCAGGGATTCACTTCCCACATTTAAACTCCGAAAGTCATGCGTTAGAAATTTTTCCATATGAATGTCGATCATGTCACTATCATATTTTTATTTGTCACTCTCTCCGGTCTATTACCGGAGAATCAGTGAGAAATAAAAGTACACGCTTAAGAAACGCACATATAACAGATAAAATTAATAAATATCAGGAGCTTCGAAATAATAGAATCACGGTAAATATAATCTACAATTGTGAAATTGTATATCTTGTTTGTCTACTTCTATAATAGAATAACTGGACCTTATCAAAGTTTATGCAAAGAGATTTAATCTAATATATTATTATATCACTTGAATAGTTGGTCCTAAACTTACGGGCACTATTCTAACAGTTTAGACAACTGTAGTTATCTTGGGAAATGTTAAATAGGAGTTAATTATACGACATTATTTGAAATTAAACTCGGATGATTGCATGTGTTATTTAATGAAAATACTCCTAGATTCTAGGCAATAATGATGAATAATTGAAGGCAATTGGTGCGTACTATTCACGGTAATATTATAAAATTACGTTGTAGTTATACTTCAGTATTCGCTCTATCTCTATTCAGAGACCTTGCATCTCCTCACGCCCAAGCGCGATAGCAATACTTTCAATCGAAATTTAGCTCTAAATATTTACGTTCCGCTCCACTTGGCTTACTCTTTTATAGTATATATATAAATACTTTTTCGGTATTCTGAAAATTCATTATTATTCTAATATTTTGCACATTTTCATATTTTATATTGCTTTTGATTATTCAATTGAATAATCTAAAACGGTCCTTTTTTTTAATGGAAATATAATTTTTCAATTGCGTGTAATTCTAAATCATACTTATTTATAGAAAATCTGACTAGTGTGAAACTTTGATGAGTTGCCTTATTCTATGAAAAAAAAAAATATCGTATTTAATTAGTTACTTTACAAAATTTTCATAGTAGTAGCACGTTTTATATTGAAAGGAGTACACGACACGCAGTCTTAAGAATTTCATTAAAATCAACCGTCTATATCTTTTACACATGCCTCCGCTTTATTTTTTATTGTTTATAATCTGATTGGAATAAAACAAATACTAAATTTTAAGTGAAGCTTACCACAACATATTTGTGAAAACCACAATGATATAGGTTCAGCTGTTTCCGAGATTAGCACTCACATCTATATATTTTTTTATATTCCACCATCTAAGTATATTTGTTCAAATGTTTGGCACAAATTTTGTCTTATCCACACCAAGAACAAGTTTTACATTTAGAAGTCGACTAATGGCCCGTCCCATGGGGGGGGGGGGGGGGGGGGGGGGGGGGGGGGGGGGGGGGGGGGGGGGGGGGGATTCTATAAATCTACATGAATGATAATTTGATTTAATTTAATTTGTATTTCTAGTATATGAATATCATATTAATTTCATACATGCCAAAACAAATTAATATAAATTGACTTTTCTATCAGATCAAATTCCCAATTATTTACAGCTAGTTATTACATAGAAGATATTGAAATTTGAGTAAAAGGACTAGCAGTAATTAGAAATATTGGTGTACGAAATCATTGGAGGATATTTCAAGAGGTTCGTAAGCCGATCTAAAATAATAGGTTTGAACTGACCCTCCCAGATATTATCATTTACATTTTGAAACCCTTACTGTAATATTATATCTAATTGAATCATAGCTTCAAGAGTTTCTCAATTTATCTGTAATATAAACTTATCAATATTTCAATGTAAACAATTGAACCCGTCTCGGCCTTGTATGGATTCAATTACTGTAGGTCTCCCTATATTTTTTTAAATAAAACAAAGCCACCGTTACTTGCGGATAATGTAATATAGCTTGAAATGGTTGACAGAAAATTTAAAAAAAGGTTGATTTTTTTTTAGTATTATATCAGGGAAAATAATATAATACTTTAATTCTTAGCGTTGCTCTCGTGTAATTGAAACTATGCAAATTTAGAAATTGTTGCACCTAAACCTTGCTTGAAATAATACCAAATATCCATCTAAATATATATTATTATGAGTAAGATAGGAGTAAGTAAGTAAGTGGGTTACGAATACGAATTAAAAATAAAATAGAGAGTGGATTATTTCGTACAAAGAAAGGAAATTTTGTAGAAGTAATGAGAAATACGATTTCGCCAAGGTGGAACGTCTTACACACTCCATACACCCCAAAGTACAATACAACAAAGCAAAATCAAACTCACCTTTGCTCAGGAAATTCCCGACGTGTAGTATATAGTTTAATTGAAATGTACATTTACGAGTATTAATACCGATTATATGATATTTTCATTTTTATTACATTTGAGCGTCCTTCTTGTAATAATTCTTATTTTGAATTGAGTTATTTTTTTCTAAATTTAAGTGGATATACTTTTTTCTTAATACTGGTTAGTATTGTCGAACTCCCTTTAATCTAATCAGTGACCCAGTGTTAAACACTTTCTTAGTATAATCAGGTGATTATACTAAGAAAGTGTTCAGAATACGGAATAGTAAGTATAGGATAATTACCTGAAGAGGAATGTTTCATTAAAGACCGGGTTTAAGTTCTTGCGATGGACTTTGGTTTGGAATTTCTTTTTGCGATCTGGAAGCAGGAACACTTTAATGTATGGATCACTGCTACCGGTTACGTCTTTGATTGGCAAATCGCGGGCTTCGAAAATCTGAAACAAATATATTACTGTATAAAATCTAAATATATCGAACCATGACGCAAGACTTCGTTATAAACTAAAAGATTCTTACATAATGAATGTAAAGGACAACAGGGAAAAATATAATTACACAAAAAACTAGACTTGGTTTTGACTTTTATCTAAAATAAAATGTCCGACATGAAAAAAATATATTTTAATTTGTTTTTTAAACTTTCATTGTTATTCAAGAACAATTACGGTATTCTACTTTATGTAATGTAAATTGATGTTCAATCACAACTTAGACGAAAACAAATATAAACCATACCAAGCACCTAATAACTTATTTTCAATTGAAATATATTTTATTTTACTCAATATTTAATAATTAGAAATAGAATAGATACTATTTCATTTAATTTAGAAATATAAATTAATTTTGCAAAATTTCGTCTATCCATTTTCCGGGAACTGTTAAATAATTAGACTTATTCCGGAAGACATTAATTCCTATCTGCCAAACTTTAATTCAATATGATTTTACCGTAAAGTATCTGGAAATTTTCAGTTTTGTTTTAAGTTAAAAATTCATTGTTTACATTAAATAGACGAGCTATCGCGAAATTCTATGAAGTCTGTGGTAATCTTAATGTAAATTATTATTTACATATTAGAATTTCGAACAGAATAAACAATTACAAACCAAGCTATTTAATAACCAATACTACATAGAATAGTATTAATTATGGCTGTACCAGATTTATTGAAAGATAATTATTTTGGCGATAAGGCCGCCTTTTGTTAAAAACATTCTTACAGTAGATAGATGAATAGACATTAATGTATACTAGTTATGTCAACAGATTCGAGCACATAAAAATAAGTTAATAAACGTAACATATTGTTATATATTTAACACACATATAACTAACTTATTTTTTATGTTACTTGTGATTGGAAATAAATGCAAAATGTTGCTGAAATCTATAATATATGAGTGTATACCACATACCAATTGTGCTCTGTCTGTTTCTAAGACCAGTGTACACAAGCGCATAATGAGATAGTGATAGATAATGTTTATCGGTTAATGACATACAGACTAAAATTCCAAAAACTACTTTTTTAATATTTAATACAATATTCAAGAACATGTTTTTAAATTGTTTTCAATTTAAAGTTATTCGGATCAAATTCCGTAAATTGCTTTCAGATACTAAGCCGACCCTTATCATTCTATACACACCTGTGGTGATTAATATCTGTTGATTAGTGGAAATACAAAATTTCTGTTTCGACTTTGCTGAAGTTTTATGTATTTATTATTCAGATATATCTGAAAATTTTTAAAATACTTGAAAAGAGAGATTTACGATATCTGAAACGATTTTTATTATAATTTATGAGGGAATTGAACATCCATTCAATCATAAATCCTCCTGTGTTGACCATGTATAATCTATATATGTTATGAATAACTGTACTAAATAAATCGTTACTTTAATATGACTTCTATATTATCTCTTCAGTGTTTGAACAATGCTTCTTAATTTAAAACTGATGTCTGCGATTTAGTCCGCATAGAATTAGTCTCTTATAAAACAAGGACTATTTAATTAAGAAATTTATGAAACGGTTGATTGTACATAAAACTTTCAAATACTATTATATTCTCTTCAAGTATTTACAAAATAGCAATAATAGCCTATATTCTTGGCGTAAAAATATATTCAAATATATTTCTGTAACAAAAAATTTGTTCTGTACTTTCGGCACGAAAGAAGAAGGTAACAAAGACAGAGTTACATACGCATTTTTAATATTAGTTCGAGTTCGTCATATAATTTTTTGCCAATGTAGAATTTAAACCAGCAGCAATATTGGAAAACCCCTCGAAAGTCATACGCACAAAAACTTGATTAACTTTAATAACCTCTTGGGATTTTCAACATCGTTGAAACTCTTAAAGGGCATTTCGTTGGAGCCCGGGAAATTGAGACCCAAATCTTAATCAGGGGTCGACAAACTTTGAGTGACACTGAACTGTCACAGGTGTGTAATATTTGATCGTCGACGACGTTGGGACCACGTTTAATGAAACCGTCAAACGTAAATTAGTGACTTGAAAAATTATACATATATCAATTTACATCCAAAATAAGCTAGTTTTGTTTAATTGTTTTAATTTTTTGTGCAAGAAATATGCACAAAAGATTAAAACATTTTTATGTCAGGGAAGACGAAGTAAATTAAATTGATTAAATACATTCGTTACATCAATGCATCTATGTTTCTATATTAACATAGAGCATGCTTCGGAAACTAACCGCATTATTCATCATCACCATGAGCCTACTGCAGTCTACTACTAGACATACGATAGGCCTCTCTCAAGGCATGCTACTGGGCACGATATTTACCCTTCTCGTTCAAATATTACCCGCAACCCTAAGCATGTCGTCGCTCCACCTAACTGCGGGCGTGCTACGCTTTGCTAATTCGCAGTCTCTACTCTAAATCACGCATTATTATTTATTATAAACTGTAATATGTAGGTGCAATTCATTTATTGATTTAATGTTTAGTTATATACGTGCCTAATAAGAATATTTAAGATTATGCAACACAACAAATTTCTGTTATTATGTATTTCTTGAATACATACAGTTTTTTTCCTATTTACTATATTCAATTTTATTTTAAAATGTTGGAAAACGGCAAAATAAATGGAGAAGAAACAGTGAAGTAATAATTTATTTTAATAAAACATTATAGCGAAACCAAAGATTTTATCGAAAATAAATTGAGTTACCTTCACAACAAGAGCTTCGACTTCCTGGTCGTATTTCAAAGCGAAGTGTAATTTTCCACAAAACTCTAACTCGGCACTATCCGTAGAGGACTGACGCACCAATTCGTTTTTGTACAGTTCCGGCTGAAAAGAAATGGTCATATTACACATAGTCATTGAAGGTTTAATAGTGAGTAGAAAATTTTAAATACGACAGTTCTAAAACGTAATTTTTTTTTTTCAAATTTCAGTTACAAAAATCATTTATTCATATACGACATTATATCTGCTTATAAACGTATTATTTTTTAATTATTTTCCCTACCGTCCAGATCAGTACCGTAGATTCAATTGAGAAGAAGTGGCAAGAAATTTGGACCTTAGACCATGTTGTATACAAATATATCAGTAATAATAATAAAATATAGCAGTATTCACTTTTTAGTCCTTGGATATAGCAATTAACGGTGTTCTGTACTCGATCGTTGGCCACTTAAAAAGTTGCTTCTTTTTTCTATAAAAACATGTATAAAATTTTATCTGATATTTTGTGTCATAAGTAAAATATACCCAATACCTATATATAATTTACGCTTTTGCATCTTTTTTTTTAATATCAAATTTATTTAGGCTCTTTTATTATAATATGATAATGCCACTCCCCGCGTCAATTTATTTTACATAATTTACGATTATATGCGAGTAGCTTTCTGTGCATACTCGTAAAGAACCTACAAATTAAACATACAATAATATAATAACATCCATCTCGAGCTGTATCACTGGCGTCATGATAACATGTGAGTACGGTCACCACTCAACAGTTTGTTTGCTATTCCAATCTTTATATATAAAAATTTAGAGACACGGTGTTCTAACTTACTGAACTTATTTTGATAAAAATTCTATATTATTATTCCTAAGTAAAAAGGTGGCCCAACCCAAAAAATCTGTATTTTTGACACATTTTTTTATTAATTCAGCATTAAAAAACTCATACAAGCTAAATATTTTACCTTTCTACCATCAACCACTATTTTTAATATCGATATTAATTTATGTTTTACCAGTACAGCTAGTTACATATTAAAAGGCGAGAAAAAATTATCATTATCACTAAATATGTACACAGTTAGGCTGATCCGCTAAGCTTTATTGTAATGAGTTGAAATGTACTTAATATCACTTTTAAGTGGTCTACGTGTACATACAAGTGTAACCATAATTAAATATTACATTAATCGTAACATTTTCCACAGAGATTTATGTTTTTACTACCTCTTTACACCATAGTCAAATAAAATGTGAACGTAATAAAGATGTAATGAAATGAATATTAGACCTGTGAATTAATAGCGACGAGGCATAAGACCATTTTTATTGCAACCGTTAAAATTTTATATTGTATAAGAAATTAACGGAATGATTTACCCATTAATGTATGTACAAATTGAAAAATCATTTGTATATGTATTCAATATTTTTAACTGATATTTTCTTTTTTTTTCGTTCTTCTTTGATATTTAAAATTGCAATTTTGGAATCTAAAACAGCACTTCAGGATCAATAATACTGCAATTTAACTGCCTCTTTTACCTTTCACTGAATTACAGCTTACAGATTAATTTTTTACCAAAATAAAAATATCAGACAGCAGATTGGAACCAATACCTAAGTATGATATACTTAGAGACTGAAAACACCAAACTCTGATATATTTTATCCACTATTTTTTTTATTGAAGGTTTTGAGTTATAGTCAGGTGTTAAAACTGCAACATATATAGATCTATTGTGCTCGCCCTTTTTCAAACTTCGGTACCTAGGCCCGTCAGGAACAACAATTAAACGATATTCTTGGGACCGATAGTTTTTATCTCCACAGGATAAAGTGTATACTTTCCAAAGGCGATATTTCGTTTATGCATGAGTGGACTACAACCACATAGGAGGTGTGTGTTTCCTCTTGTGCTTGACAAAATCCGCCAAGTTTTATTCAGTAACCAAAATATGTTTGAAAAACCACAATACCGAGTCTTAATTTTTTTTTATATGGAATCCATCTGAACGCATATGTGTGTGTAAGAAGAAACATTTTTCTAAATCAGTTTACAAATCACTAAATTCAGAGATAACAGACACAAAAATACATCCGAATTCTTCTTTTTTAAGCTGGTTAAAAACTGACATCTCTATAACTTTGTTATGTTCATATTTTCAGCTAATAAAACACTACTGGAGTGTGTATTGTACTATACTAGATTACATTAGCTGCATTAGGTGTTATCGGCCAACTTTATTGTATCATTTGTTTTACGATGTAAGTTCGTTCCCACGGGAACTGATCTTGCGAACTAACAAACAATATGTTTATATTGTTGCTCGTAAACAAACGGTATTAACCTTGTGCAGGTCGCGTAGTAAAGGACCCTGAGGATTGCGATATCAATACACACTTGATTTTCAAATACTCTGTATTTATAAGTTTTTAATATTATAACAATTTATGTTATTAGATTAATATATTAACTAGAGTTTTGTTCGAAAATTTCGAGTTCGAAATTCGGCGATAATTAATTTAAATTATAAGTTTGATTATTATTAAGATTTTATTAATAAAGTCTATATGCACATATAGACTTTATTAATAAAATAGTGTGTGTGTCAAATACATGGTTTTGTGTGTAATATTTTTTTATGAATTTGACGTATTTTTTATGCATAAATTCTATATAAACTATAAGTGTGCGAAATTTCATACTGCGCCGTTCCACCAATTTTCATAAAAAGGGGTACAAAGTTTTTGCTTCACCTATACCTAATAATTAAGAATAAATATACTGTCGAGACAATTTAAAGATGAAGTAAATAAGAGTCATTGTCAACAATCGACATTTCGCTAGGTATATTTGAGTTCAGAGTAGCATTGTTTAATGTAGGCTAGATTTGAACCTCCTTTTGGGTATAAACCACTGAGCTACAACTGACTTATAATGATAGTTCGCTAAATAATAGTTTAGTATCATTTCATTATATCTAAGATATAGTGCCGACCTAGAAATTTATATTGAAGAATAAATAATTGCTTGATTTAAATAAGGAACTGTACGAACATTTGTAACAGATATAATTTTTTTCGGCAAAATTTTATGATATTCGATTAAAACAATATTATTATACTAATATAGGCGACGATTGTTGCGTACCATCAGGCAGCCGTTAGCTCTTTTGACTTCCAATAACATAAAAAATACTAATAACATTTTTCTGTATTCCTGTATGTATAAACTTCTTCGTACATAAATTATTTTTATTACAAAAAAATAAACATTAATACTGTTTGCAATGGCATCGATACAATTTAATTGCTTTAAGAACTTTATTTTTAATCAAATAAATTTATTGAAAATCAATTTCAACTATCCCAAAACATTCTCTATTCGTTCCAGCATTTTGATATATTCAGCATATCATCTACTTGAAATAAATTTTCATAATAATTCACCACCATGTATATTCATGTAATTATACGGGATCGGTAAATTTTCTCTAACAATTCTCTCCAGTACGCCTCAAAATCTCTATTATATACTTCAAGACATGTATTAATTACAAAGAATTCAAGCGTTTAATATTATCTCCTACAACATACTTTTATAATAATAATTGAAAGCTTACATAAATAACATAAAGGGGGAGTTTTTTTTATAGACGGAATAGGGAACACGCTTGCTCTATTTTTTTTAATGGATGAATATGGAATAGTGCACCCGGCTGTGTTTAAGGTATACACAAGCGGGGCACCAATTCAGGATATGAGATGAGCATTAAGTTAGGTCCATTAGATCACTATAACAAATTCTATAAGAAGTGACCACGATAATTGCATTAAGTGAACACTTAGTTCCAGCGTGTGGGAATGAATTCCCTGATGGCGAGCGGTGCAATGGTAAAAGGTGGCCGTAGGCATCATGTCGAACATTCCTCAGACCACAGTCTAGTAATCATAGCATATATTATTGTAATTTGAAAATTTTATATAAAAAATAATATTGTTTCAAAAAATTACAAGATTCATTCGATTCAAAATAGGAGTGTAGATTAATATTTTGCAACACAAAAAAAAGAAAATATATTTCAGCTACTTATGTTAGTTTCTTTTTGGGATTAATATTTAAAATGAAATATAAATCTAATCCATCAAACCGGATACAAAAACATTGTAAACAATAAAACATCGTGAAGTTTAATAATTTACATATAAGTGGGTAGTTCGTGAAAAGTTACTTTTATTTTTTTTTATATTGTTTACGCTACTTACCTGAGGTCACATTGAGATAAAATAAAATATTCTAATACTAACAACAAAGTTATTATATTTAGAGTAATTACTGTAACCCACATATTATTTCAGTAACTTTTCTACGCTCATGGTAGGTAAAGTTCATGTTACATAATTAAAAGTAATATATTATAATATCACTAACTAACAACTACCACCACCCATAAATTAATTAAACCACAAATAGTGTAGAACAAATATACCCTCATAACTGTAATTTTAGGTTGGACATTCAGAAGCGTTGTCAACTGGTGATTTCTTAATAAACACAACTCATCGGTGTCGTGTGCACAATTCGTCGAGTACATTTGAATGCAACGTGGTAGGACTACCTTTGTCTCTAGGTTCACCTCGATATGTTAACGGTATTTTCATCACCGAACAGTCTATCAGAAATATAAATTGTATTAAAAATAATTTATATTTCTGTATCTTATGTTTGTAATTGATGAATAAAGCTATCTATCTAATTAAAGCAAAATCAGATTGCTGTTTGTCACTGTTAGATGTTACATACGATATGTCCAAACTATTTTTGGTGTCGTCCATGTTTTAATTTACTTTAGGGGTTCATAATTCGAATTAGTAAACCTCTAGACAACGATGCTCTTCAACCAATATTATTTAATACTGTTCAGTTAATTTAAGTACTGAGAGCATAAAAGTGGAAAAAAATAAAGAGATAAAACGCCTAACTAAATATTCATTATGCCTAATTAATGACTGAGCAACGTTGTCGAGTCTTTTAGCTGATTTGTGAAACAAAGTCGCTTCACCGGTGATTTTAGTCCGCAGTGTTTGCTTAATTTAATTAATACTAGCAATAGTAACAAAAAAAAAATCGCTAAAAATAAAACATAAATGTTCATAAATAAATAATTTTGACTTTTAATAAACAACGGCCTCGGTCGGCTATACTTTCGATTGATGCGGATTCGATTCCCCGAACGGTAATTAAACGGAAAATTCCTCCATAAATGGACTATAATTTTTTTTAAATCTATCCCACTTTAAAACATTAGTAAAAATGTATATATATTTTTAATAAAATAAAACAACCACCAATATAATTTACATAACTATGTCAGTAACTGCGATTAAAAAATCTCAACTAAACTAAAAACAAGATATACCAACATTTTTATTTAATTATTAACTTTTATGACTGCGATGCATGAAAGTTAATATATTTTTATTAAAATATCAATCACAAAGTTTTAATAAACGTAGGATGGTTACTCTGCTTCTAAATGAATCCAAACATGTCATTAGAAGTGTGGGTGCCTCTGTTATTTCCGTTATTCTATTTAATAAATGGGTCAAGTTATAATTAAATTTGAAATACTCATACAATATATATGTCATCCATAAACAGTAATATAGCAAATTCCCTACTTTTACTATCATTTCCAGATTATCTTCGCGAAACTTTATTTGTATTAAAAAGAAGAAAGAGCAGTACTACTGTAAAAGTCAAATTCTACCTACTCATAGTTGATAATTAAACTTATATATAACGTGTCTACTTACTAAATTTTGTAGTCCAATTCATAAAGACCAATTTATGAAACTTGCGAACAGTAAGGTAGCCTTTAAATTACAACGTGGCTCTAAAATTACACTGTAATATAACCTAAAAACGGCACAAAAGGGCTGTAATTAAGAACCAAAGGACCGTGCTTTTATTAGCGGCGTGTTTTCTTTCGTAGTTTTTGTAATTACACTTTCTCAGAAAGGTACAGTATAAAGTATTATAGCTAGGTAGATAAATACATATTTTTTTAAATATTTTAGTATTATAATTTAGATTTTATATTGCTATTAATTACCTGTGTATTAATTAAATAAATAGTAAAATTAAATTGTTTGATGCTGCTTCATTTTTTCCTATTATATTCTACAATTAAACTTTATTTTAGAATATAATTTAACGCAGTCATCATCATTATAGTAGGTATATTCCTGGTGAAAAGGCCAACTGACCTGCCTTCAGCCTTATCCTATTTTCCACTGATGTCCCACTATCATATTATATATGTCATTAGCATAGACTATAGCTTCACTCTCTCAAAATCCACAAAAAAATTTGACGATCTGGTGTTCTTTATCATCATCAATAGAGGCTATAGTTTTTGAGGCGCTGTGAGGAATTCTCTTTTACCCGGTTTCAAGATCTTCCCCAGATTTCTTGATTGCGTCTTCCTACTGGTTTTCTACTAAATCCTATGTTAATTACGGAAGGTATTTTTGTTACACAAACACAAATAGTTATTAAAAATATAGCCTTTGATTTTCAGATAGTGCTGTGTGAGTTTTCCAAAGTTATGAATTACCTTAATAAGCCCAATAGAAGAATCAGCTCTCTCAAGGCTGCAAATGCTGAATTGTATCGAAGGTAGATCCAGACGATGGGATAGCTGACGTTGAAACGTTTGGTGGCGAGTCGGCACTATTGGTAGCGTGGTTTGACGGAGAACCTATAACCAAAAGACAAATTTTGAACAAATTGAATATAAAGGACACCAAGTTGTTCTCAACAATAAAAAATGTGATTATTCAAAAGTGTTTATATTATATTTATTTGACTAAAGTTTATTTCTACATTTATTATAATACCATATGTAGACTAAAACTTCGTTGCTGCTAAAAAGCTAAAACAGATGAGACAACTGTACCCTTGTCTCATTTATTTCAGCTGCCAAGCATCTATGAAGTTGTGTTTCGGTTGTAAGGTCAGATTATGCATTGAAACAAGATAGGAAATGTATAGTTTTCTTCTAATGCCAATTGATTTTTATATATTTCGCACATAATAATTGACTGCAGTAACTGCAAAAATATTGAAAAATTATCTTAATATTTTAACTTCGAATCAATTTCTTACAATTTGTATTTTTTTTTAATTAATGAAGCCAATTACTAAGATTGTAATAAAAGACATTTCCTGTACTTTAGTCTCTACTATGTATGTATTTTTCACAAAAGAACCTTAATAATTTTCGAATTGATAATATAAATTAATTAGTCAAATTCCGACCACTGGGCAACCATAGTTGAAATGTAAATCCGGAAAATGGAAGGATATGTAATGACTATGGAAGCCGAAGAGGACATGATGTCAAAGGCGCTTTTCATGTGGATGCTCATATATAGCCCATGATTGCTACTTACAAAAATATATATGGTTATATAATTCTTCAATTATCTAAAAAGCCGACATAGCGACCGTGTACTGTAAAGAATCCACACAGTAAGAATAGCAAACCACATTCATAATACATAATACAGTAGTGACAGGGAGTTGGTTTAAAAGAAAATGTCGGCGTAAAAACGAGAAAAGGCACACAACGTTGGTTCGGGCATGTGGAAAGAATGTCGTTTGAAAGGATAGAAACAGATATACAATTATATAATGAAAAGCTCAGATTTACAGGGATAGTCGTACTGCCTGCATTTAGAAATTTCTGCTTTACATTAGGAATATCAGATAGATAAAAAACTAACTTAACATGGTTAATTAGTCAAATATTATTTAACTAATTGATTAAGCTAGAGTTTAGGTTTAAAGCATCGTTGCTTAGTGGTTTTCCCGAATCTAATCTAAGATGTCTTAAGTTCGAATCTGACCGACAGCAAAAAGAAAGTTTTTGTGTTAAGTTATATTTCCGATAGGCTCTCCGGTGAAGGAAACATCAATATCGTAACAATTAATCCTACATGACGGTGGCCTCAAATAATATATACCGAAAATATGGGCATGTGAATTGTTATGTTAACTATAAAATCGACAGTTGACAATGCTATGATATCCTATAATATATAATATTATATATACATATATATTGTAAGATATCACGCAACAGTTATATATATATAAATATTGTGGTGATATGTGTGTAAATATTGAATGTCATATATATTTGCACCGCCAACAATTATTAACCCACGGTTGACTGGTAAATAAATATGCTAACAAAGGTCTTAACGCTCAAAGCAATCTCTAACAGACAACCAGCCAATGGAGTATAGGAGTAATGAATAAATTATTTAAATTAATACAAAATTTGTCTTGAAATAAAAGTATATCTATATTTAAAGTATATTCATTTTCGACAACATAACCACATTTTAATTAAACTACAGGATACGAAAGAGAATTATAGAGTATTCATATACGTACATAATCCTCGGTTTTTTATCACGAGATCCGTGAAGTTGCATAAAAAAATCAACCTTCCAACTTGAGATATTAATTAAAATTTACTTGCAAAGTTGCAAGTTAGTGCATTAATTCTGCAAGCTAATAAAAAATGTTTGCGTAGTCTCTATAAATCATGCTTAAACAGCTATAAAACTTTTTACACTAATTAAGTACCTAACAAATAGTTACCCGCAGCTGCTTTCCCAAGTTAACTAATAAAGCTACGTTTTTCAAGATGCAAACATACATATAATAAAAATGTAAGAAATCGCTGTCTGTACATGACAGATATTTAGAATAAAAAATATTATTCAGGATATTAATTAACGTAATAGAACCCAGAACCATTCATTTTAGATTGTTTTATTTCGTGTGTTTTTCTTACATTTGCGCGTACAGAAATTGCTTAATCGATTTCGATGCGATGATAAAACAAAACATAGGTCTTATTTTATAAGTTGTATTTTACTCAAATAAATGAGAGATCTGTACAATAAATTACAATTATGTAATACCAACGATTACAAGCGTAATAGCGAAAGATTTCGAAGTTAAGAAATTCTTTCTTAATAACTACTGGTACGTAAACCACACTTAGATACAAATGCACCCAGACATGTGGACTTGTCTAGTATTGCATTCAGTATAAATTGACTATTCCTCTAATAAGACATGTCGGATAAACTGTTATCCGACATGTCAGAATAAAAATACCATCTATACTGATAGATGGTATTTTTTTCTATATTTCATTAAACGCCTCATCTGGACATTTTTTTCAGTGTTTATGTTGAGGCTACTCGCTTTCCTTATTAAGTTCCCAACTAATACGATCTGACGTTGAACGCTAGTCCTAAGTTACTATTAAATGCTTATATAAAGTTCTTTATGATAACACTCTTATGACTTTGAGTATATTTTTTAATTATAACTAACTTTGTGACCGCTTCATTTAACATCTATTAAAGTAAATTTTAGCTCATGCTAGCTTCATTATATTTAAGTATATACTGAAGTAGGTATAGAAGCCAGGAAAGGCCCGACTCGTAGATAAAGCAAGATCTCAATTCCATGCTATTTTATTTTCTACCGAGAAAGGACATTTAACTTGGTAGAAAATAAATAAAATAGCAATGTATTACTACCGAGATAGAAATTAAACAAAGCCATTCGCGTGGATATCTCCATGTCACTACTGCTATTATTATATGATATTAAAGGTTGAGATACGGTAGTTACAGTCCTCCGGTACCGGGGGAAAGGGTGATTGTTAGTAATGTGGACTGATGATCTTATTGCTAGCAATGTACAATGTCAGGTTGACCTCCACGCGGTTCCCCCTGGAAACCATCGTGATAAATTCTTAGTGAATTCGTCACGATGGGCTAACTAACCTGACCTCATGCTCATCTTATCATCCTCCACTGGTGCGCCACCAGCGCAAACCGTTAGCGCAGGCGGGTGCACCATTCCATTATCATCCATAAAAAAAAAGTCCTCCGGTACCGTAACACAAGTCATATAAGCCGTGGTGCTATTCATGCGCAAAGGCGAGGATTGTCACTTCCCTTAACTACTTTACATTTTCAGTAACAGTAATAAAATGTTTATCTTCGAACTCTAGCTCTGACTCTTTTCATGTACCTTATACACTTAACAATTTAATAACAGATGTTACTACAAATACATGTTCTTCATAACGTTTGTCATATAAATGCTCAAAGCATACCCTCTCACTACTCTGACCTTATTGATACTTTCCCTTCTTCTTCTCCTATGCACGCCATACTCGTTTCTGAGTCTTGGTTAAAACCATCTCTCTCCTCTTACTCTTACTGTCTCCCAAGTTATGTTCTGATACGCAATGATCGTGTTGGTAAAGGTAGTGGAGGCGTTGCTATATACTTGCGGAGTGACATTCCTTTCTCCATCTTATGCAAATCAGAACCTGTTTAACTGCTTCTGCTGAGTATATTATGTTAGAAATAACGATCAAGGGCATTAAAGTGGTTCTTGGAGTTGTATACTGTCCTCCGTCAGTTGATTACTTTTGTCAACTCGAATCAGTTCTATATAACGGATTACACACATCACATAATCATGGGTGATTTCAATACTGACCTGCTAAAAAGCACACCACGCTCTCAAAAACTTCTTGATATAACTAAGTCAGTCAATTTTGCTATTCTTCTTTCTGGACCCACTCATCGTAATCACCTTTCTTCTGACACATGGCTTGACTTAATAATAACATCTTCTCAGGATCATATTACAAAATACGGTCAGTTATCCGCCCCTGGCTTCTCGAAACATGACCTTATTTATCTACTTTATAAATTGAAACCACCTAAGTCTAAGCCTACGATAATTTACACGCGCAATTTGGCTAGGATGAATCCAGAACGTGTAAGGATCGATTTGGAGAATGCTGACTTCACACCTCTGCTAGCTGCATCATCAATTGATGACAAAATATCTCTTTTTAATAACGCGATTTTAAAATTGTATAATAAGCATGCACCATTAAAAGCTGTGAAGATAAAGAGACCTCCTGCTCCGTGGATTACCAGGGGAGTACGTATGGCTATGACTAGACGAGACAGATCCTTTCGAAATTATAAGCGTGATAGGTGTGACACTAAATAGAATATTTATAAATCAGCTCGAAACCGCTGCAATCAAATGGTGAGAGGAGCCAAACGTCAATATTTTCACGACAATCTATTAAATACGTCCTCAGCCAATATATGGAAGTTTCTACACTCCCTTGGACTCGGTAAATGCCCCACCTCTTGTAATACCTTTCCATTTTCTTCTAATGATTTAATTCAACATTTCACATCTACTATTTCACTTGACCCTTCCACAAAATTATTCACTGTTTCTAAAATATCTTCCATGGCCCAGCCAGATATTGATTCTTTCTCATTTTCTCCAATAGCTGAGGATGAAACCTACAAAATTATTCAATCTTTGAAGTCTAATGCGGTGGGCTGTGACGATGTGAACCGGAAAATGATCATCTCTATCCTTAGTTCCATTCTCCCTATTATAACTCATATCATTAATCACTCCTTCCTTACTGTTACCACATTTCCCCATCTCTGGCGAAAAGCATTCATTCTTCCTCTTCCTAAAATACCTATACCTAATAAATTGAACGATTTTAGACCGATATCAATCCTGCCTTTCCTTTCCAAGGTCCTGGAAGCAGCTGCATATAGGCAAGTTTCCTCCTTCATCCTTAATAATAATCTACTTAGCACTTTCCAGTCT